TGGTTTTCATTATTAAGCAGGAAGGGAAAATATTAATGCCTCTAAATCTAGAAGAGTATAAGACAATGCTCATCTACACACACACAGACACACACACACACAACCTTTAAAGACATAAATAATTACTCTTTTTAATACAGTTTCCTATATATTTAAAGGAAATTTGGGAGTGGGTTTTTGGCCTCTGCTGACTTCTCTATCATAATGAGAAGTCTTCATCTACGTACTCCTGAGCCAATTACTATCACTCTAGTGCATAACAAATTTGAGGGCTTTGGTATACAAATTATCACTGCTATCGACCAATCACTTTGGACTAAAATTCCTCAAGATATTTCATGTTTCCAAACTCCTATATGTAAAACAAAGAATGCTTACAAAAGTCTTCCTGAGGCTTTGATTATGCTGATTCCAAAACCAGACAAAGACATTACAAAAAGAGAAAATTATAGGCTAGTATCCCTGATGGACATAGACACAAAAATTCTCAAAATATCAGCAAACTGAATTCAACAATGCATTAAAAGGATCATACACCATGATTGAGTGGGATTTATTCCTGGGATGCAAGGTTGGTTCAGTATAAGCAAATCAACTTATATGAAATCCACATAAACAAAATGAAGGATAAAAATCATATGTTCATATCAATAGATGCTGAAGTCATTTGACGAAATCTAGCATCCCTGTATGATAAAAACTCTCAGCAGAGTAGTTTTTACTCTTTTACTCTCAACACAGTAAAAGCCATATATGACAAACCCAACAGCTACCAACATCATATTCAATGGGGAAAAGCTAAAAGCATTTTCCTTCAGATCAGGAACAAGACAAGGATGTTCACTTTAACCATTTTATTCAATGCAGTACAGCCATGGCAATCAGACAAAAAAAAAAAGAAATGAAAGGCATCCAAATTGGAAAGGAAGAAGTAAAACTGTCATTATAAATTAATAAACCAATAATTAACTTTCAGAAAGAGAAATTAAGAAAACGATCCCATTTATAATTGCATAAAAAAAATAAAATAAAATACCCAGGAATAAATTTAACCAAAGAGGTAAAAGACTTGTACTTGGAAAATTATAAGGCAATGAAGAAAGAAACTAAGAAAGACTGTAGTAATCAAAACAACATGGTACTGGCATAAAAACAAACAATGGAACAGAGAGCCCAGAAATAAACCCAAGCCCATATGATCAATTAATCTATGACAAAGGAGGCAAGAATATACAATGAAGTAAAGTAAGTCTATGCAATAAATGGTGTTGGGAGAACTGGACAGATACATGCGGAAAAAAAAAAATGAAATCAGACCACTTTCTTACACTGTATACAAAAATAAACTCAAAATGGATTATAGACTTAAATGTAAGACCTGAAACCATAAAACTCCTAGAAAAAAACACCGCCAATAAACTCTCTGGCACTGCTCTTAGTAATATTTTTTCTGTTATATCTCCTCAGGCAAGAGAAACAAAAGAAAAAATAAACAAATGGGACTACATCAAACTAAAAAGTTTTTGCATAGCAAAAGGAACCATCAACAAAACAAAAAGACAACCTACTGAATGGAGGAAGATATTTGCCAATGACACAATAGGGAGTTAATATCCAAAATTTATAAACAACTCATACAACTCAACAACAAAAAAACAAATAATCCAATTAAAAAACGGGCAGAGATTTCTCCAAAAGATGACATAGAGATGGTCAATAGACATATGAAAAGATGCTCAACATCAGTAGTCATCAGAAAAATGCAAATTAAAACCACAATGAGATATCACCTCATACCTGTTGGAATGGCTATCATCAATAAACCCAAAAAACAAGTATTGGTGAAGATGTGGAGAAAAGAAACCTTCATGCACTATTGGTGGGATTGCGAATTGGTGCAGCCACTACAGAAAACAGTCTGGAAGTGCCTCAAAAAATTAAAAATAGAACTACCTTATGACCCAGCAATTCCATTTCTGGGTATTTATCCGAAGAAATCCAAAACATTAATTTGAAAAGATATATGTGCCGCTATGTTCATTGAGGCATTATTTACAGTAGCAAGATACAGAAGCAACCTAAGTGCCCATTAACAGACTGGAGAAAGATGTGATACGTATCTACTATGGAATATTACTTGGCCATAAAAAAGAATGAAATCTTACCATTTGAGACAATAGGGATGGACCTACAGGGTATTACGCAAAGTGAAATAAGTCGGACGGTGAAAGGCAAATATATATGATCTCACTTATATGTGAAATCTAAAGAACGAAATAAATGAACAAAAAGAACAGAAAAAGACTCATAGATACAGAGAACAAACTGATGGCTGCCAAATAGGAGGGGGGTTGGAGGACTGGGTGAAAAGGTGAAGGGATTAAGAAGTACAAACTGGTAGGTAGAAAATATTAATGGAGATGTAAAGTACAGCCTAGGAAATATAGTCAATAATATTGTAATAACTACGTATAGTGCCAGGTGGGTACTAATCAGGGGGATCAGTTTGTAAATTACACATATGTCTAACCACTATGTGGTACACCTGGAACTAATATAAAATAAAACAGAATGTCAACTATAATTGAAAAAAATATCTTGCATGTTTTAAAATTTACCCTCGCCTTCATTTAATCATTCTCATTCTACTTTTGAACACATATTGTAGAGAAAAATGTAAAATTATTATAAAAAACTGTTACTTTACTTGAAGAAATCGATTTAATTTAGTAGTGCTGGGCAATTACTCCAATTAAGATTTCAATGAATTTTAAAAACCAAAGATTGTTGTCTATTAATATTTCAATCAAATTAAACAGATAGGATTATTACTCACAAATAATAGGATATCCATCCCGGCTGGCACAGGCTGCTGCTAATATTCTTCCATTGTGAGAGAAAGCGAGACAAAAACATCCTCGTTCTCCCGCATTTAGTGAGAAGAGCTGCTTGTTTGGGATACGGCAAGCCTAGAAGATGTACATTTTAAAAATATAAATTAAGAAACATTAAAACATAAAGGCTGTCATTAATTTCAATTACAGTAGTGGTGGTGTTTTAATCTCCCATGTCCTTACACTGTGGCTCAGAGAAAGAGAAAAAGAGTAAGCACAATGATGGAAACCTCAGTAAATTGTTTTACTTTCTAAAGAGGGAATCAGTTCCCCATAAAATTAAGTGAATTTACACTCCATGTCTAACTAGTCCTTAAATCACCTAAAATATGAACAGAAAATTTTAGTGTCTGATACCCTAAAGCTGTTACTACCATATAGCTTTTATATAAACCACAAAAAAACAGTATGTCACACTTTTATTCCAAGACAGCTGAGCTATAAACTTGTTCTGAGACCATAAATGCTCTTATGGGGCCTAGCTTAAGCCCAGGATGTATGAATAGTCATTCTCCTTTTTTCTACTCTTAAAATAACCATCTGTGGCTAACTTTTGAAATGTGTTTCCAAAGTAATCACCTCCTACTGGTTTTTCATTCACTAATTTTCTTAAAATTTCTTCATAATTTGTTTGTTTTCCCTATTACCAGATAAAATCAAAATTTTCCACATAGTAATATCTACTGTAGAAAATACTGCCTACTTTTATTTGTCCTAATTCTTCTTCTTAGTGAGCCTAAGGTCTTCTGCTTCTTATTATTCCAAAAGGTTAATTAAACATATATTAGGCTCTTAACTCTATACCAAGAATGTGGTACTTTATTACAAATGTCTTTTAATGTATTCATCACAGCAACCCTATGATAAGTAACCATTATTACTATATATAGCTAATAAGGATTATTCAAAGGGTTAAGCCCAGCTTACCGGGCCTAGTCAAAAACGATTAGTTCAGTGGCCTGCTTTCTAGATAGGTACAGGTTTTCCACAAATAGCATCAAGATTAAGCAGCATTATCAGGAGGCAGCATTATGAGTAGCTACTAGCAGGAGAAAAATTCAAGACATTTTTATGTGCCAATAATGTACCTGACACCATACTACCCATCATTTTCCCCCATCCAGATGATTTAGAAAAGGAAGGGGGGGATAAAAAGAGAACAAAAATGGAAAGAAAAGTCAAGAGGTTTTATAACCACTTGCTGCTATTCCTAGAGCAGAAGGTCTAGTGGAAGAAAACTCTGCCTAATCTCCTAAGCTAAAGTCACTGAAGCCACTATTGTTTGCTTTGTATTGTCAGGGTTTAACACTGGGTTTAACTCAGAATAGGCAATAAAAGTTTAATTTAACAGTAGGTTCCAACATC